GTAATCGCGCTCTCTTGGCTCAATTGGCGGCTCGTTTTGATACACAATCTGAAACAAACCGGTAACAATAAACAACACCAAAATCTTTAAGAAAATTTCTTCGTTTTTGTACAATGTATAAATCAACCCAATTAATCCTAAAATGAACGGAATCATATAGAACTTGTTGCGGCCCTTATTTCCCAACGATTCTTTCGATAAATGCTCTTGCGGATACTCAGGTGTAAAGAACAATCCCGAGTTATCAATAAACGGGATACCACATATCCAACGGCCATTGTCGTTGCCGTATGTGCCCTGAATATCGTCTTGTCTTCCGGCAAAGTTCCACATAAAATAACGGAAGTACATATACCCAATTTGATACTTCAAGAAATACCAAATGTTGTCTTTCATCGAAACATCATCTTTCACAAAATAACGTCCAGGTTGCTCGGCATTACGTTGTTGCGCAATTTGGTTCGCTTGCTGGCGCTGACCCGGATCAAACGTTTGTACCACCTCGTTCGTTTTACGGTCAATTAATTTTGCAGCAGGGTTTAACCACGTTCTATACCCATCGTGTTTTTGTGTTTCTTGCCAAAAACCTAAACGAGGGAATAGCATACATGCCTCATCTTTGAAAGTATAATCGATTTTCTTTCCAGCAAACTCATATTTATCCTTGCCTTTGTAGAAACGGTCGCCTAATTCTTTCTGTCCTTCAATATCTTGATAAGTAGCGGTATAATCCGGTCCATACACCAACGGTCTATCGCCATATTGCTCACGATCAACATACGACTTAATGCTGAATGGATCAGCAGGTCTGTTCATATTTATTGGCGTATTCGCAACGGCACGGATTGGCACCATCGCATACGATAAGTAACCGATGTAAACAAACGAAGCCGAAATCAATCCCAAATTCCATAAGTATCGATTCGTTTTTTGTGTGTAATAAATGCCGTACGACAATAATGAAATCAACAACAAGAAGAAGAAAATTACACCGCTGTAAAACGGCAATCCCAATGTGTTCACAAAGAATTTATCGAACCCGGCCATGAACGCTTGGGTGTAAGAAATAACAAACTTCATTGCAAAACCCAACACGCCAAAACCCGCAATGGCTGCAATAAAAAAGCCAACTACCGAAGTCTTGTGGTTTTTGAAATAGTATACAACTGCAATAAACGGCAATGCCAACAACGACAATAAGTGAACGCCAATCGACAAGCCCACCATGTAAGCAATGAAAATAATCCAGCGGTCAGCATACTTGCTTTCGCTTTCGTCCCATTTCAAAATCGCCCAAACAATGATCGCCATAAAGAATTGCGACAAGGCATACACCTCGCCCTCAACAGCCGAAAACCACAACGAATCCAAGAACGTTGCGCAACCTGCAGCTATCAAACCAGCCCCCATCACAGCAATCGCTTCGCCCGATGTTGGATTGTTCTTATCTGTAAAAAACATTTTTTTTGCCAACATCACTACCGACCAATAGCAAAACATAATCGAAGCAGCTGTGCTTAAACCCGACATAAAATTCACCATCATCGCCACTTTAGTGGTGTCGCCAAAGGCTAAAAGCGTGAATAACCGTCCTAACATAAGGAAAAATGGCGCCCCCGGAGCGTGAACCACTTGTAGTTTCCAGCAGCCCGAAACGAACTCACCACAGTCCCAGAAGCTTCCGCTCGATTCCATGGTCATGGCGTAAACAACAGTAGCGAATAACAGCACACCGAAGCCTACCAGGGTATTAATTTTCTTGAAGTTTTGCATATTTTGTTTTTTTGGAATCTGCTAAAATAGCCAAAAGTTGTGTTCGTCAAAGTTTTGGTTCGCCCGATTCGCTTTTTTTCGAATTTCTTAGGAATTTGTAAAGGCTATCGAATTGCCGCGTCCCCGCTAAGAAGCAAGGCCGGGCTTTTCGCTACAAGTCCTCGTGCCAATAAGCATTGGCCCTGTGGGCTTTCCGCTTCAATCCCTCGCGGGCATTCAATTTCATTTCAAAAATTGACTTTTGTTGATGTTTCTCCGCTGTGGGCGATTGTAAGATTTACAACCCATCTTTTCGACCGAGTCCGTGAGTGGAGAAATCTAAGGTGTTCCTTTCTATACTTCTCTAGGAACGCGAGGAGATGGTTTGCGTAATGTGAAATTATTGATTTAAGGCATCCGAGTTTCCCCAAGTCAATCCTATTTCGCAATAATTGCCAATATATTTTATCCCAATTAAGATTTTTGGCTTGATATCTACCTTACTCCACCATCACATACGGCAACAACTTCTTGTATATACTATCCGTCATATTTGGCACACGCGCAATTTGTTCCGGTGATTTAAACAGCGAATTACTCTTTCTGTATTTGATAATGTAACCCGCAAACGGTCTTGTATAGGGGTGCTCTTTGAACTCTTCATAAGTGGCAGTATTAATGTTTATTTTCTTTAATTCTATTTTGCTGATTACTAGGTTTGCGCGAAATTTGTTGAAGGTAGAATCGGCAATACCATATACTTCTTTGACTTGTTCCACATGCGTAAATCCACCTAACCATTCCCTGTATTTTACTATACGAACTGCCAATTTCGGGCCTATGCCATATAGCTTTTCAAAGCCTGCGGAATCGGCTTTGTTCACATCAATAAAAAATGGTTTATAGCTGAACTTGGGAAACACTTTCGGCATTTCTTCTTTCACCTGGGTTGTGTTCTCCGTTGTTTTCGTAATTGTACTCAATTCTGTTTCAATGCGCACATACGGCAAAAGTTCCTGTTTCTTTTGGTCGTTCAACACAAAGATTTTAAGTATATCTTCCGGCTTACGAAATTTTCCACCTTTCGCTTTGTAGTGCTCAATAACAGTAGCTTGTTTTTCACTCAAACCTAGTGCCATCCATTCATTGATATTAATCTTATTCGGGTCGAACGGAAAAAGTCTATACGTTTTTGCCTCATTTTTTGCTTTGTATTCATAGGAGCTATAACTTGGAGCAGCATAATTATACTTTTCCGTGAATGCATTAGTGTCAAGTTTTTGTTCCAGTTCAGTTTTAAAGGCGGCTACTTCTTTTTCAAAAGCCTCATCTACTGTTGGTTCTTCACTTATATGGAATGTACTGTAAATAAATGGAAGTGCAACTAGTACAAGAGTAATAGCTCCCAAGGCAATAACTGCTCTGCGTTCACCTGGGGAGAAGATGAAGTATTGGCGTACCTGCTTTCGTATCATGCCCGAACCTATATAAATGCAAGCATTTCAAAGCATAATAAGCATTTACTATCGGAACAAAATAAAAAAACGCAGAAGTTGCCTCCTGCGTTTTTATTCTGTTCTTGCTTTCTAGTCTCTAATAGCTAACAGCTAGAGGCTTTTGTTAATGTTCTTCAACTTCTTTTTTCTCTTCCAAAGGAGCTGTGTTCTTCGGAATGTATTTCGGATCAATATCGTGTTTAATAAAATCTTCTATGTTCTCTACGCCAATGCGTTTCGCTTTAATCAATTTGTCTTTATCTAAAATAAACAATTGGGGTGTACTTTGAATGTCCCACTCAAAACGGAAGTTATTTTGATGATAAGGGTCGGCCACATTTATCCAGTCTAATTTATTTTCATTAATGAAATCCGTCCATTTTTTCATTTCAGCAATATCGAAAATGCCTGGTGAAAAAACTTCTACATCAATTTTTTCGGCTTTCATTTTGTGGTACAACTCGGCCAATTTCGGAATCTCTTTTTTGCAATGTCCACAATCCGGATCCCAGAACGCCAAAATAGTATATCTGCTTTTCACATCATACAACGAACGCATTTGTTTCAACGTAGAATCGGCTAGAACAATACTTCTGGCTTTTTTGCCAATCAAAAGCGGATCCAAAATTCTGCCGCGTTCCACAATTTTATATAACTGCGTAGAATCCACCCAAGGCGTATATCCCTTGGCATAATACTTATTTACTATGTGTACATATACCGCATCGAAGCCCATAATTTTCGATTTCGCCATTTCGTTGAGCATGTATACCAAAGAGTAACGGAATAAGTCGTTTTTCGGGTTCATTTTGGCCAATAACTCATCGCCATCTTTAATCAAAGTGTCCGGATTTTGAATGATTACTTTGGTATAGTAGTACGATAGTTTGTTGTGGAAAATGGGTGTTCGAATAAGTCGATCATCGGTTAGGTCAACATTGTCCCAATATTTTGCTTTATACTCTCTCCATTGCCATGCCGAATCGGTTAAAACCCCTTTACCATCACGCGGACCGTCTTTGCTGAGTTCCGGTTCTCGCATCGAACGGAGTAGTTTGGTATAAAGCGTTGTAGGATGCTCTTTTTCTACACTCAATCGTTTTGCTTTTACCTCTTCATCAATTTTTTGGAGGTTATTTTTTGCTTCATTTTTTGCTTTTTCATCTTTAGCTTCTCTGAACAATGCGTTCTGTCTTTCCAATTCTTTACGCTTTTCACTCAAGAAAAACATATCGTCATAAAATACTTTGTTTTCTGCAGAACCTTCTACTTTCATATGTCCTGCTAAATCAGAAGTATCGGTAGCTAAAATAATTTTGGGTTCACTTACCACAAACTCGAAATACTTATTGTTCAATTTCGGAAAAACAGCCAAGTAAATACCCGGAGGCAAAACGGTATCCATTTTGATGGAGCATACGCCCGTTTTATCAATCATGAATGTGTCTTTGATATACTGTTTGTCGCCATAGTAATTGGCTAAAATGAGTTGGGTGTTGCCGAGGTCTTTCACGGTAATTTTTATCTCTGTTCCTTTACCGGCAAAGGTTTTAGACGAGAATAAAATAAGCATTGTAGCGATGAAGAATATCATTGAAAAACGGTTCACTGACTTGCTTCCACGGTTCATTTCTTTCATTTCTTTCATTTTCAGTTTTTGCTAAATCAAAATTTAAGATTCCAAAAATAGTCGACTTATTGAATAGTCGTCAATTTTCGTGCAAAAGGTTGCAAATCGGTTTGCTAAAATTAGTTAACCAATAGTACCAAGCCTTTCAAGTAGTTTCCCTCAGGGTGGAAAATGTTGATGGGATGATCAGGCGGCTGTGTTAACTGATGTAAAATACGAATGTTTTTTCCGGCCTCAATGGCAGCTGCGGTAACAGCTCCACGGAATAAATCATAATTTACAACTTGAGAACATGAAAAAGTAAACAGAATGCCACCTTTTTCGAGTTTCTGCATGGCTTCTAAATTGATACGTTTATAAGCTTGAATAGCATGGTGACGAGCAGCAACGTTTTTTGCAAAGGCAGGCGGGTCGAGCACAATCACATCGAAGTCGCCTTTTTTTACGGTTTTTAGGTAGTCGAATACATCACTGGTTACCGATTCGTGAATAGCTTCACAACCGTTTAATGCAATATTTTGATCCGTAAGTACCATCGCTTTTTCTGACGAATCTACAGACACCACTTTTTCTGCATTTGCTTTGGCGGCATACACCGAAAATCCTCCGGTATAGCAGAATGTATTCAATACCTTTTTTCCTCTGGAATAGGTTGCTAACAAGTTTCTGTTTTCACGTTGGTCGATAAAAAAACCGGTTTTTTGTCCGGTGATAAAATCAATGCGAAACAAGTTTTCGTTTTCTTTCACAGTGAGTATCTCAGCTGCACCAAAAACAAATTCATCTTTTCCGTATTCGTTATGTTTAGGAAGGGTGTTATTACTTTTGTTATAAACAGCAACAAGTTTATCTCCATATACTTGTTGAAGACATTCTGTAATCAAAGCCATTTGTTTGGCAATGAAAACACTGTGCGCTTGTACCACACACACACCATCATAAAAGTCGATAATAAGTCCCGGAATACCATCGCCTTCAGCATGAATCAATCGGTATGCATTTGTTTTTGCATTGTTTGTGAGCCCTATTGTTGTTCTAGCGGCAAAGGCATTTTTGATTTTATCTTCGAAAAGTTGCTGCAACGATTCGATGGGAGTGAACGAGAGAATTCGAACGGCAATATTGCTTTGCGTAAAATAGCCGATGGCTAAGAATTTCCCTCGCTCGTTCACCACTTCCACAAGGGTATCGTTTTTGATAGCGTCATCTTTGCTTTTTACTGCACCGGAAAATATCCAAGGATGGAAGCGAAGTATAGCATCGGTCTTAGAGTTATGGATAATAACTTTAGGTAATTGAAGTGTATTCATTATAAGAGATAAAAAGCGTTTAGCAGCAAAATTATTCGCAGTATTTTTTTATGGCCTTGGCCGCATCTGTATAGTTCAGTTGAATAGAAAGATTGAAATCATTACAACCTTCGATAATACTTCCGGAGTATACTTTGGCAATACCTCTTTTATACAATATTTCACCAGATGGGTCTTCGATCTCTAAATAGGCGTTGAAATCTTCTACAGCGCCAGCGTAGTTTCTATACAGCATGCGTAGAGCACCTCGCTCTTTATAAGCAAGCGAGAAATTTTTGTTTATATCAAGCAAAGTCGAATAGTCTTCTATGGCCGCCTTTAAATCGCCCGCTCGAAGCGAGAGGTTTGCTCTGTTTAAATAGGCTTTATAAAACGAGCTATCAGCTTCAATTGCAAACGCATAATATTCGTATGCTTTCTCTACATTGTTAGAGTTTTCGTAAAGCAGTGCCAACTTATAATAAGGCCTTGCAAAAGCAGGGTCTATTGAGGCTGCAATTAAATATTCTTTCTGTGCTTCTTGTGCATCACCCGAAGCAGAAAGCATTTCGGCATGATATGTCCAAGTTTCAGCACAATTAGGATTTGTTTCAATAGCCTTTTGCAGGTATGATTCTGCTTTCTTGAAATCTTTAATCTTCATTTCCTCTTTAAATTTTTCTACCCAAATTTTTGCTTTGAGGGCAGTAATTGGGTCTACCGGTATAAGGTATTTAGGCCCATTTTTCCCTTTAACTATGGGGATACTTTGAAAGTTTAATCCTTTAAAAGCAAAAGCCGGACTGTCGGAATACTCATCTAATGGGTCAATTTCTTTGGGAACTATTTTATTGGCAATGGCTTTTTTGATTTCCTCTTTCATCGATAAATCTCTCTCCGAAAGTGGTTTAATAGGGGTTTCTTGCGTAAGAATGGCTTCATCCTCTTTTCGAGCTGCTTTGGACTCAACTTTAAATGGAGCAATATCTTGTTGCTTTATTGTAGTTTGTTGCTCAGTTTCAATAACAGGTTCTGAGCTTATTTCTGTAGGAGCTACTTGAACAATTTCTTGCTTTTGAACTTGGGGCTGTGCATTGATAATGGTTTGTTGCTGATCAACTGCAACTGTTGTAGCCTTGTCGGGTTTGTTTGTACTAGAAGTGTTTTCAATACCTGAACTCTTAGCATTGAGTTTAGGCTTTGCGGTAAGTAATTGGTCGTTATTAACTGAATCAATTATCTTCTTCTCTTCATGTTTCTTAAGTTGCGCGGGTTGTGTTTTGGTTTCAGTTTCAACTACAACATTGCTTATTGTTTCTTTTTTAGCCGGCTTAGATAGTGTTATTGTGTTGTCGTTTGGAGTGTTCTCGAATGCAATAGTCGATTTTGTTTTATTAGGAACAGTAGTATCTGCTGCTACAATATCTTTAAATAAAGGTGAATTGGTTTCTGTAGGGTTTGGTTCAGCATTCCTATTTTTCTTAATTCTCTTATGTAAACGTTTTTTTTGTTTAGCTTTTTTAGAAGTTCTATCTTCTTTTTTTACATAATTACTTTCAGCAATAAGCTGTTCTCCGGGTCGATTGTTGATTCGTTCCAACAAATCGGCCTCGCCCTCTCTGTTTTTTTCAAAGTAATATGCGTTCTCGTTCAAATAAGCGTATTCACTTAATTTGTTGCGCAAACGATTTATTTCTTCGTTCAACTTCGTTTTTACATCATTCAAACTGTCCACTTCTTTCCCCAGCGGACTTTGTGCATAGTAACGCTGACGAGCTTTTTCCATTCTTTTTAAAACGGCATTCATATCTTTCTCGTCATATTGAAATGCAAATTCAGTGTTTTTAATCGAATCAATTTGATGGTTTAGTACTGTAATTCGCTTGTCGATTTTGCTAATATGCTTATTCATTTTTTCTGTTTGAACAGAGTCGCCTTGAATTTCAGCAATTAAGATGTAATCGTCTTTTAAAAGTGGGTCGAGGGCATCGTTGTTCCATTCGTAATCTAGTTGAGGCCGAGCATCTTCTTTACTTAAAAAAGGTTTGTTTGGGTTGAATTTAGTGGGGTCCCAAGTAGCGGGGCGAACTTTAACCGGAATAGTAATTATTTTACCAGGGTATACTGTTTTTCCTTTTATATCACTGTTTTTTCTTATATCAGCTTCTGTTACCTGAAATCGGTAAGCAATTTCCTGCAATCGGGCAGTATTCCGTACCATAAAATCCCAATATTGAACTTCTGGTTTGTGTTCGTCTTGAGCTGATAATTGGACTAGTCCTCCAAGCATCAAAAATATAGCTAGTAAAAATCTTTTCATTCCAATTTCAATATATAAAAACTTCTGAAATAATCTCATCCTTTAATTCTCTATTCAGCGTTTCCTTGATTTTTGCACGTGAAAAATGAAGTTCGTTTTTCAGAGCCGGATTATCTACTGTTATAAATAGTTTGCTATCTTTTAAAACAATCGTTTTTGTGTGTTTGGAAATAAGACCACCCATCAGTGTGTCCCAAAGCGATGCAATTTTAGATTGAGCAATAGACTCTTCTAGTCCACTTTCTCTAATCCACATTTTTATGGCATCACCAAGGCTAATGTCGTTATACCGTATCATTCGATTCTAAATCTATGGTAAAAATCTCAATTTGTTCTCTATTTCCTTCAAAAGCTTTCTCTAATCGCACAATATCAGTATCCGACATAAATATCTGTCCAAATTCATCTCCTTGCAGTATACGTATCAATTGCTTCATTCGTTTCGTGTCTAGTTTGTCGAATAAATCATCTATCAATAAAATTGGCAAAAGGCCTTTCATTTCATGTAAATAGCGATAAAGCGAAAGTTTTAATGCAATCGTGAACGATTTTTGTTGCCCCTGTGAGCCAAATTTTTTAATTTTTTCATCGTGAATGGTGAACTCAAAATCATCCCGATGAATCCCCGCTGAGGTACGTTGTAACACTAAATCTTTTTGTAAATGCTGTTCAAAAAGGGTAGTCCAATCTTTGGTTAACAGTTGCGAAGTATAATGCCATTTTACTTGCTCTTTTTCTTCGCTTATAATGGAGTACAACTGCTGAAATACAGTTTCAAAGCGCTGAAAAATATCTTTTCGCTTATGAAATATATAGCTTCCGGATTGAGCCAATCGCGAATTGTAAAACTCGAGCATACTGATGTCGGTAGCCGGTTTTTCGGCTTTTATTTTTAGTAACGAATTACGTTGTTCGAGAATTTTGTTGTAATCCATCAGCGCCTCTAAATAAGCAGGGTCTACTTGTGCCAAAATATTATCGAATAATTTTCTTCGGTCTTCGCTGCCGCCTTGAATAATGTCGTTGTCTTCAGGCGAGATTATCACTAAAGGTAAGGTGCCGATATATTCAATGATCGGTGAGGTTGAAAAAGCTTTTAGTTAAACTCAAAAAGTAGATTAAATCCAACAAATTTGTTTTTCCCACACCGTTTTGTCCCACAAAAGCCGTAAACTTTTTGGAAAGGTGAAAATCACGTTTTGAGTGATTTTTGAAGTTGGTGAGCGTTAGTTTTCTTAGAAAAACGCTGTTTTCACTGGATGGCATGAATTCCCCTAATTATTGCCCCGAAACCTATGTAAAATTTTCATTGTAGGGTATAAAACTTAAAATAAAAAAAAATACTTAGGTTTGTCCGCTTTATTAAAAAGTTATGGCCACAAAATTAACTAAAGAAACCTACCTCTATTGGTATGAACTGATGCTTCTTCTTCGAAAGTTCGAGGAGCGTGCGGGTATGCTTTACGGCCAACAGAAGATTCGAGGCTTCTGTCACTTATACATTGGGCAAGAAGCAGTTGCTGCAGGAATGATGTCGGCATTACAATCAGATGATCGGGTAATTACCGCCTATCGCGATCACGCTTTAGCCATTGCCAAAGGGATTAGCTGTAATGCAGCCATGGCAGAGTTATACGGAAAAGAAACAGGATGCACAAAGGGGAAAGGGGGCTCAATGCACTTTTTCTCGAAAGAACATAACTTTTTTGGTGGTCATGGAATTGTTGGTGCACAAATTGGCTTGGGTGCTGGAATTGCTTTTGCCGATAAATATCTCGATAAATCGAATGTTACTATCTGCTTTTTTGGTGATGGCGCTGCTCGTCAGGGTATTTTGCATGAAACCTTTAATATGGCCATGACCTGGAAATTGCCCGTGATTTTCGTTTGTGAAAACAACGGTTATGCTATGGGAACTTCGGTGAAACGCTCGTCAAATGTAACTAAGATTTCAACGTTGGGAGAAGCTTACGATATGCCTTCCGAATCGGTTGATGGTATGCAATGCGAAACTGTGCATGAAGCAATAGCAAAAGCAGCAGATAGAGCCAGAAGCGGTGAAGGTCCTACATTTTTGGAGATTTGTACCTATCGTTATAAAGGACATTCTATGTCTGACCCACAAAAGTACAGAACCAAAGAAGAAGTAGAAGAATACAAAAAGCTCGATCCTATTGAAACTACATTGGATACAATAGTGAAGAAAAAGTATGCTACACAAGCGGAAATTGAAGCCATTCAACAACGTGTAGATCAACAAGTAGAAGATTGCGTGAAGTTTGCAGAAGAATCGCCATATCCGAGCGATGACGAATTGTACAAAGATATTTACGCTGAAGCCGATTACCCATTTTTAACTGAATAAACGATAAATAAAAACAACAACAATTATGGCAGAGACAGAAGAATTACAGGCAGTACAGCATTTCGCGGAGCGTGTAGAAAATTTCGTAGAGGAAAATAAACAAGCTGTAGCTATTAGCGCAGGCGCTTTAGTAGTGATAATTGCTGCATCCCTCTTTGTTTTCCTGAAATGGCTTCCGGAGCGCAATCTAAAAGCACAGCGAGAAATTTTTATGGCTGAAATTGCTTTCCAAAAAGATTCTTTCAACTTGGCATTGAATGGTAATGGAGTAAACAAAGGATTTTTAGAAGTGCAGAAGAAATATGGTTG